AAAAGGTTGATTTCTCATTGTTGGTCTCACTGCTGGTCACACACACTCATTCAGACTGGGTGCTGGCTCAGTGCCGGAAGGAGTTGTCTTTACCTAAGCTGCAAAATGATCAGAATCTGGTTGTTAGTATTTGAAAAAAATACTATAGAATAAAAGGGAGAGCCTTTGTGGTGTCCTTGGTCTCTGCAGCATGTCCTGTCTTTCTGTTTCTTTCCTCCCACACCTCAGCTTTGCTTCACCCTCTGCCGTCAATCTTTTCCCCAATCTCCTCTGTACTTCAGTACTGTGTCTGCTGAGCCTTGGCAAACTACATGTGGTACTTTGGCAAAATACCTTGTATTGGATAAACCAGTAGAGCTGGAGTAAAGATACGTAAGCTTTCAAGTTCCCAAGCTTTTTTTCAGGTCCCTGTAGCGTAATGCTGATAACTAGTCAGCAGTGCATTCTCTCTGTCAGGATAAATAGGGCTAGCTCTAGGTTAATGAAACCGCATAGGCCCATGCTCTGTGGCACCCTGGAACTCAATCCCCTTTGCTAGCTTCTTTTTTTTCCCTTTCCTTAGCTCCGAGCATCTTCTGGGTGTCACGCATAGCCCGGTTTGTGAAGCTGCGTAGCAGGAGGTGTTACAGTCTTTGAAGTCGTGGAGGTATGAGAACCATGGCAAAAAGGTTGATTTCTCATTGTTGGTCTCACTTCTGGTCACACACACCAGGAGGCCCGTCCTGAGCTGCTGGTTTGGGGCTTGCTGGGAGAGCCTTCCCCTGCGACGCGCGCCACAGGCTGGCTGTGAGCGGGGCGGCCGACGCAGGCTCTCCCTGAATTGTTTATTGCGGCGCGACGGAGAGAGGCTGCGCGTTCCAGCGCTGCGTGTTTCAGTTGCTTCTGGCTTGTTTGGTTAGCCTGATTTTTGACATGTCTGAACAGGATTAGATTGTGCTGTGCTCTGTCTGATAGAAGAAACAGGAAAGTGGAGTGCTCTCTTCCAACAGACTCTTTAATCCGTGCCTAGCTGTCACTGCCGACTGTACCAGACTGTCAGCGGTGGGTGGGGGAAGAGAGGAGGCATGTGGGAGGAGAGGGAGAAGGGAGGGATGTTGCAGACATACTGCAGGCTCAAGCCAAGAGGATAAATACCAAGTTTGTCTCACTGGCCCCATCTAGCAAAGCATTAAAGGCTCATGTAGGTTTAGCATGTGGCAGAACACCTAAAATGTCCTAACATGAAGTGCATGGCTCAGTGTTTTTATAAAACAGGGTATTGCGGAAAAAGGCTGGAAGTGAACTGCCCCAGACAAGCACAGGAAAGAAACTTAATGAGTGACAGAGAGGAGATGGGACGGCTAAATAGAATCTCTTCCTGCACATTCTTCCTGCAATTCATAGTTTTGACCAACCTACGTTGTAAACACAGTTAGCGCAGAGGTAGATTCTGTAACAAAAATTTAGTAGTTCTTGTGTTTTTAAATCCTGGAATTTGAATTTGTAGCATATAAAATAATTAATTATAAAGTGCAAGCTGCTTATCTGCCCAAGCTTGCAGAGTCCTGAAGAACACTTGAATATTGTCTGGTCTTGCACACATTTACAGCTTTTTGTCTTTAATATCTGAGATCCTCCTACTCGTATCCCTAACCAGGGAGTACTATTTTCCTCTCTGGCCCTTTTAGAGTTGGAGAGGCTTCTCAGGTTAACTCTGGCCTATTTTAGGGAAGGCGCTTCACAGTTACCTGTTCCCATTCCCTCAGTTCAAGCCCTAGGGTATAAAGTGGATTGCTGTACAAGAGGCTCTTTGCCAAATCAAGCTGGAAGTGTTGCCAGACCAAATTGTTCCTAGGTGGCAGGGATGCTGAAAAGTGGTAGATACGCTGTTTGTGTAAGGAAGATGGGAAATGGTCAGTTTCTAACAAGAATAGTTTCACAGGCCTTTCCAGTTTGATATAAATTTGAAAGACTGAACCAGAGTAATACAGCCTGTGGTGAAGCCACATGGATGGATCTCGTGCAGCCAGGATAGGATCTAGGATCTGAAATGAATGAAAAACATTACAGCGTAGGGTCTTGCAGAATAACTCCCCTTCACATCCTGGGCCTTGAAATTTCCACAGAAAGCAAAGCAGTGTAAAAGTCAACAAACTCTGGAGTGAATGTAGAGTTAGGAAATACAGTGCATTTCACTTCATGCGTACACCAAAAGGATCACGCTGTGAGCAACCTGCCATTTCCCTTTTCGGGTTTGTGGAAGACACATGTATAGCTCATTTTGAGCCTGAGCCAGCCAGTTCTGCAGAGTTGTATGTTTCTTGTTTGTAAAATGGTAGCGGCAATGGACTGAATTATGGCTGTGACATGTGTTTTAGGGTAATTAAGATCTGACTTCCTCATAAGGCCAGCAGGTAGCATCTGATGTTTTTTGCCAATTGCACTTGTTTGTCAGCATTCCTGAGTTTTGTGCTGCTTGTCTGAGTGCTTAGACAGTTACAGAAGCAACCTCCCAGGCCGTGAGCAGTTCACAGCAAAAATTCAGTTGAATTTCTGTCATGTCCAGGATCCCTGCCTGAGAACTAAAGGAGAAGAGATAAAATGAGGCTTGTTCTGTGGTCGTGTCACATGCAAGCCCAGAAGTCCTAGTGCAAAGTAGTTTGAAGCCAGCAGAAAGATTCTGCTAGGTTCTTTGGTCAGGTTAAGGAGACTTACATGGAGCCTACATCTTGTTCTGCCTGGGAGTGAATTTTGCCTACAGCAAAGAGGCAGAAGTTTTGTTTTCAAATTGTACTTCAAGGGCAGTCCTATATATAGTGCCTCTAAATCCTTCTGTACTGTCTGAAGTTGTTCTCTGTCCTTGGAGGTTTTTAAAGAAGAGGCAAAAATATAAAGTGCAATTAACGTGTGGGGTGGCATTTTTGGAAACACACTGTGAGGTTGGATTAGCCGACACAAAGAGGAGTTCTGTTGCTGAGAGCAGCAGTAGCAAAAAATGAGTCTACTCCTAATGAACTGGAAATCCCACCCTTTAAGTTCTTAAAGCAATAGAATAGCCATAAGTTGATTGCAGTAAATATTATGTGCACTTGTTTAACTTGATTAGAGAATAAACTGTCTTGCGTTTCAGAGAATACAGGCCAAGAGTGCATATTCAGTTTTTGGACAACGGTACCAAAGTATCTGCTCTGAATCCAAAGACATATGTATTTGACCCTCAGAAGTCGGTTGGAGACCCTGAAGTGGACCGGATTAGAACGGTTAATATTCCTGCAGTGGTGAGTTCTCCTTCATTTCTGTTTGGAAATCATCCCAACACACTTGATAACTAGCAACTTGTTGCTTCGTACTGTCTCTCCCTTTGTGGTAGATAAAGGTGATTGAAGAACGAGAGAGGCAGCTTACGTCTGGGGCAGGCACTGCATTCCTTTTTGGTTTGGATTGTTGTGGGGTTTTTTGTTCTGTTCCTCCCTCACTGTACGCCTCTTAAGCGTTAGTGCCTCACTCTTGCGCTGAGTGCTGACACACACTTCTGAGATGAGCAGAAATCGGGCTTGTTGGGTTTCCATGAGTAAGTGAAACTAGAGTGAGTGATGTCAAATGCATAGGAAGAACTCTGACACTTGAATGAGAAAGCTTGAAATACCTGGGGTGGTTTCTGTCAAAATTGCAAAAATTGCCTCCAAGTCTGCCTCTCAAGCTGGGGGAAAAAAAATATATATATATAGCAGAGGAGTTTCAGATACAGCTGAATGAAAAGGTGCTCTCAGAATAAACTTGAAGTTAAAACATGCACACCCAAACTGTGTTAGGTGAAAGTACGCTTTAAAAAAAGTGTCCTTTTGGTAATCAGAGGCGGACCATAATTTTTGGTCTCGTACATGGATAGTATGAGAACAAGCAGATCTAAAGCTGTCGTACCTTCCAAAGGAAATTAGACGGTACTAAAAGACTTGTTGGTTGTGTAACTAAGCCTTTACTCCCTGTACCTGTTTAATTGACTTCAATTACAGGGTACGTTATTTTCTACTTTTTCCCCAGCATTTCCAAAAATGTCTTGCCTGGTTTTATGAATGAATACATAAATGCACTGTGTATAGTAGTAGATGGGACTCAGCTTACTAACAGCTGCAAACGATACAGTCACTGTATGTACAGTTACTCCCAGGCATTTGTGTAGTGGCAAGTATTACCTCTTGTTCAGATTTTTTACTGTGATGTACTGTAACAGGCAGTACTAGAAGAACTACAGGTTGTTTCTCCCAAGGAATAGTCCCTTCTTTTGTTTCTGCTTTTTTAAAGATGTGTTGTAAAATCAGTTGTCACCTAGAAAGGAAACAAATTTTGGTATTGTTTGCATTTTGGAGAAATGGCTATCTTTTAAAAAATGGCTTTTAAAACATGTAAACCATAACTTCCTAAGGGTGAAATTCAAAGCACGTCGCCAGCTGTAGTATACTTGAGAAATTCAGGCTGTTTAGAAAGCTGTTTTGCACATTTCACTTAAAATCCGTTCTTAAGACGATGGCAGTTAGTGGCATGGAACTGAGCTAGCTGGGTGCCAGTGCCAGGCTGAACGGGAACCTGCAAGAGCACATCCCTGTGGGAGAAAAGCCGAAGAACCTGTTAGCCAGCATGTTACTTGCCGCAAGTGGAAATAACGAAACTGAAAATATGGTTGAAATGTTGCGATGCTGAAATGTGTCTGTGTTTGTATGCAGCTGCTATTATTTATCCTACAATAAATCTGACCGTTGCTCCCTTATTCCGATCCCCTGGCAGACTGCGATGGAGTGGACCAGGTCAACCCCTCTTCAGTTTGCCACAGAGGTGCTGCTGCTGCTGTACCAAGAATCCCTGTTTACAGTTCACACTGTTCATGAATTACTGTGGGGCTACAAAGACAGGCTCCTGTCAACCATTCATCTTTTGCGTCCTGAGATCGATCCAGTATTTGGCTTCTTTAATAAGGTAACTGGTATGCAAGACTTTCTGATGCTTTAGATGGAGAATGATGTCATTGCTACAGAGTTTGGAGTGTCGTCACCAGCCAGTTGAGGAGGATGTGCCTTGCCTCAGGCCAGGAGGTGGGCTGCAGGGGTAGCAAAAGGATGTTCCCTCTTCAGTCTGGCTGTATCTAGGCACTGGCTGGTAGCGCAGTTGCGAGCGTTTTGTCCAACTTCTGTTTATCGGGTGTGGATTGGCTTTCCAAGGGTGGATGTAAACTGCTCCACTATTGCTTGTGCTCGCTTGAGTAACGTGGGCTTTGTGGGGCCGGTTATGTGTACTACTAGCAAAATTTCCTGACCTATTTCCTTAGTAATGGATTGAAATTGCATGTTATTTCTGTGTTGGAGCCATTACTGGCCTCCCCAGTGTTTCTGGTTGCACCTCATTTTGGGCTGTGGGGACTCCTTGTTTCTTGGAGATCGTCTGCAGTGCTCAGACTATTTTCTGTGGGTTTATTTTTTTGCTAAGGGCTGTTTTTTCAGTGGCAAATTTAAAAGGAAAAAAGGGCTAATCTAATGTTACATTTCCTTCACTTGGGGGGTGTAAGAATCTAGCCCAGTCACTTCCACCTCATTTATATTCAAGGTGGAGTTTAATGAATTGCAGTTACCTCAGGGGAGGTCCATCTCTCCTAGGGTGGATTTGACAGCTTAAACTCCTGCCACCCTGTTGTAGTTACCAGCCAGGTGTTGCAGAATGAGCGGAGTTATGAAAACTGCATGTATCTGTTTGCAGATGAATGGAACCGATGATGGAGAATATGTTTTCTTAAGTGGGGAAACGAACTACCTTAACTTCACAAGGATTGTGGAATGGAAAGGAAAAGAGTAAGTTTCTAAGCATGGTGTGGCCAATGTCAAAATCTGCCCCTTTTCACATTTTGGATGAACATAAGCATTTATTAGAAAAAAAAGGGGTCCTTTTATTCTGAGGATGGCAGTAGCTCTTAGCAGCTGTAGCTTCAGACCAGCACCCCAGTATTTTGGTATGTGTCATACAACTATGAGAGGAAAACAGCCCCGGCCCTTGGAGAGCAGGCTGCTGTGAATACTCACCTCTGAATCCCGGACTGCTCCCCTTTCTCCACTCCCTCCTCTAGGACGCCCACCCCAGCCACCTGTGGGGACAGTATTCCCGCATCTACACAGCCAGTGTTCCCAGACGCCACGCTTCCTTACTGCTCTGTACCCACAGCGAAGCCTGGGACAGTTTCTGCCTGGGTATAAACGCCTCTTCAGGGGCCTGCGTGTATTACAAAGGAGCCAAAGATAAACTACCTAAAGCATCCCTCTCTCATTAAACAAAACATCTGCCAGGAATTACATACGTGGGAGGAACTCTTGCAGACGTATTCTTGCTTGCCTGGCGCCAGTTCAAAGAGAGTATAGATTCATTTTAATCACCTTTTATGTTAGCGGAGCTGAGGCAAGAGGCCTTAGAGCTGAACGGGTCTGATTCTCGTTTGCTTAGACCATGAGCTGGCATCGCCTAACCACCCTTACGCTGTTTGCTTCGTTTTCTTCAGGTCATTGAGCTGGTGGACAACAGAGACATGTAACATGATCAATGGAACAGATGGGACATCCTTTCACCCACTGATTAGCAAAGATGAGAACATTTATATCTTTTCTTCTGATTTCTGCAGGTAAGGAGACGAAAATGTCGCTCAGGCTTTAAAGCAGAGCATTCATGTCCATTCCTTTTGAGGTTTCAGGTTAGGCTGGTGTTCTTCCTCCTGTGATTTTATTTTTTTAACGCCATGAGTGTTCTGCATTTATTCATGGTATAAGGATGAGAGAGTTACACCAAAAAACACTCTATCTGCATCAAGTTAAGGATGTAGTATTGCAAAATCAACACAAAGTGAAAATTTGAAGATGACTGGAAAGACAGACTAGAGTGCTTTGCCAGGCTAGTAATGAGGGGGATGGAAGGATTTACATGAACCTTGCCTGAAGCTTCTTTCCTCCAAAATCTTCCTCTGTGCCCTGCTTTTTGAGAGAACCCAGACTGCCCTCTTCAGAGATTCAGGACCTGACATAACGCTGTTTGAAATGCAAGAAGATGCAGAAAATCTTGGTGTTTCCTTCTTTATGTTCCACCTTGTCTCCTCCCTTGCCCATTTCCCTGTCTTTGAAGAACAAAACCAATCTGAAATTCTTTATTTAAATCAATACAAGTTGTCTGTTAGCTCAGTTCAGGACCTGCCAAATTGTTCTGTCTTCCACAACTGTGTTCCTTTCCATGCTCCTCTCAGTAGCACGTACCAGCTGTATCTTGCACAACACTCAATAGCAACATGGGGACCAGAGCGAGACCCTGAAATGCTGAAGGCAGGCATCAGTGTCCCTGGAGCAGCACAGCTGGCGCAGGATCGTCTACTTTGTGCAGCAGCAGAATGATGAGAGGTGTATTTGCTGATCAAAAACCTACTAAACTGTATATAGAACATGTTTGGAATGGGCTTCACCAAGCCTGTAGCTTACAGCAAACTTAAGTAGATACACAGGCATCAGAAAGAGACATCTGTAGCAGGTGCCAGTGTGTGCTCAAGACTAACAAATCTGAGGCTGGCTTTTCTTCCTTGCAGATCTTTTTACCTGGTGTACGACAGCTCAGGAACTGTTTCAGGCATCCCAACCTACCGCTATGTGCCCTCTGCTATGGTGTTTGCCAACACAACGGTTAACCCGGACAATGCTGGATTCTGCGTGCCGCCAGGAAACTGCCCTGGCACAGGTGTCCTCAACGTCAGCATCTGCAAGCAAGGTATGTTACTGAGCAGTGGAAGCGGGCTGGACGGACATCGCCAGGGAACATATTTCTGCTTTCTATCTGAAATATATGAGGACAGTTTGATGAGACCTATAGGGATATGACTCTGCTCAGTGAAACCAGTCATCGACAAGTAATCAGTTGGTTGTAAAATTGCAGTAGTGAACTAAGGGGAAGTTCCTGTGAGATGCTGTCTGCTCCAGCGATGTTAGAAGGAAGTACCAGGATCCATACTGAACAGTTTGTGCATTTATCCTCTGCTCTTCTCCAGTAGCTGTCACGTTTGAGTAGTTGAATGAAAACAGTGCAAAAGACCGGTACACAAACTTGAGACGTGAAGCCGTGCTGATGCTGCACAAGGGCAAGTTTGGCTTGTTCTGAAGACAGGGAGGCCGAGTGTTTATTCTGTAGCTCCAGAATGGATTTTTCCTTCTACTGTAAATGGCACAGTAGGAGGAGTTTTGAGTTCCTTAAAGACTTCCTCGAATCCTGCTCTGCCTTTTTTACGTGGTGACTTTCTATGTTTTCACATTCCAGGTGCTCCAATATTTCTATCCGCTCCACATTTTTACCAAGCAGATAAAAAGTTTATAGAAGACATAGAGGGTATGCACCCAAACAAGGAATATCATGAGACGTTTCTGGACATCAATCCTGTAAGTGCAGCCTTTTTTAAAGAGTTAGGAGGTGACTCCAAGCACATGGGTTTAGGTCACCTTCTTGGATGGTGTGTATCGACATAGTCCCATTGACCTCAGGGAAGCTGTACTAGTTTATGTGATAGAACTGAACTATTTGTATTTGCTTGTATAGAGCTAACTTTGCTGGATGGCAAGAATTAAAATACTTTTCCCATTGTGCCTGTGCACATGATGAGATGCCATCAAACTGGTAACGACGAGATGAAGGGGTTAAAATATTCCTTAGAAGCAGATGAGGCTACTTGTCCTGTTCACCCTGCCATCCCAACCATTTGGGTATTATCCTGACTGTGTTTTCCCCAAGCTGAAGAAGCCAAGGATGGGGACCAAGAGAGCAAATCAATAAAGAATCAGTGGATATTGGACTCAATTTAAATAGCATGGAGTTGTGAGAGGAGAGATACAGAGTGTGGTGATTATGTCTTTCAGGGAAGTTTACAGTTGTTGGTATTCCCACCATGAAGCGTAAGAAATAAAGGGAGCTTGCAGCTGATGATCCATGGTTTTACATTTGTGGTTTAACCCCGGTAGGCAGCTGCGCACCACACAGCCGCTCACTCACTCTCCCCGGGCAGGACTGGGGAGATAATCAGAAGGGTAAAAGTGAGAAAAATTTGGCTCAGATAAAGACACTTTAGTAAGGTTTTGGTTTGGTTTGGTTTTTTAAAGTAAAAAATTGAAACAAATCAAAGGAAAACAAGTGATGCAAAAAAAATCCTGCTTGGTCACCATCAGCCAAGCAATGGCCAGCCAGTCCTCAAGCAACAGCAGCCCTGGCAAGCTTCCCCCCCTGTTTTTCCTCACTGAGCATGACATCATATGGTGTGGGATATCCTTTTGGTCAGTTTGGGTCAGTTGTCCTGGCTGTGTCCCCTCCCAGCTCCTTGCCTACTCCCTGGCAGGGCAGTGTGAGAAACAGAAAAGGTCTTAAGGTTGTGTAAGCACTGTTCAGCAGTAACTAAAACATCCATGTGTTATCAACACTGTGTTCATCACAATTCCAAAACACAGCCTGATACCAGCTACTATGAAGAAAATTAATTCTGTCCCAGCTAAAAGCAGTACAGCACTGATCTCTGCATCCACACATACGAAGGTAGTTTAAAGAGCAAAATCATGACCTGCCTCATTTACAGAAACAGAGTACTCTTGACTCACGAAGCTGTGTAGCTAAAGCAGGAGGAAGTTGCGTAGTTCCTCTCTTAAGGTGTAGTGCAGACGCTGCTTGGTATCTGGTTTGGTGCCAGGTTTTTCCTGTGACCCTGCTCCTACTTACCCAGCTTTTTTGTACTACCGTCAAATGAGCTCTGCGCCTCCCCCCTCCCACCCACCCTGCAGACTAAATTTTGCTGCTTGAATGAGGAAAATATGCCTGTGCACCCAATTGCAGCTCTTACTTGGTGCACAGGAATATTTTTGTGATGGCATTACTGTGAGAAGTGTTTCACTATCTCTGGGGCTGTATGCTCCCATTGACTGTGGCCAGTACCTGTTTTTCACCGTTTAGAAAGAAAGGTTTGTGGCTGAGATTGCAGAGTCCCTGCAACAGTTCTCAGAAAACAACACAAGCAGCTGTTAGGCGATGGCCTTTTCCAAAACTACAGCTGGATCGGGAAGAAGGAGGATCTCCCTGTAGAGCAGGTGTAAGTTTGCACAGCACGCTGGCACCCTTATCTCTGTTGCAGCCTCTTCACATCTCCTTAATTAAGAGGCAGACTGGAATGTAGGCATATGAGTTACAGGAGTATCTTGGTGAAGGAAAATAAATAAGACCCACTAAGTGGGTCTTGTCTTTCCTTGTCAGGTCCACACCAGTGTAAATATGAGGTGGTATTCTCCCAGCTCCTATTATTTCATGTTTACTTTTTTTTTTTGACACTGATTTCTTTTATTCCCCAGCTGACGGGGCTTGTCCTGCAAGCAGCCAAGCGGATGCAAATCAATGTTCACGTCAGAAAATTGCCTGAATTTTTGTAAGTGTTCTCTGCTGCTGGGTGGATATCTCAGATCAGGTTTGATATTCAAAATTAATTTGTCTGCAGTGTTCAGATGGAATATTGGGCAGAGAGAGCAAGTAAGAGAGAGACGAATCCAGTCAAATCTCAATTAACAAGTGGCAGTATCCTCTATTCTCACACATCAAGTAGATTTTGCAGTTTCATCTGCAGATTAAAGACAGTAGTCAAGAAAAGCAAGATGTTATGGACAGGTTCCACATGGTGCTTGTGATGTCATCGGTCTTACCACACTAGTTTGTTTGCTCAAAGAGGAGGTCTGCCACGGTGGAGTGCAGCTAGAACTCACGAGAGTGGCTACTCACTGCAGTGAGGACATGCCATCCTACTCTCCACAGCTTTTAGGAGTCAAAAATTTTGTAGTTACCCGTCATTTCTCAGCAGTGGTCACAGGAAAACGAAATGAGAAGGCATGATGCCAGACAGGGCTGCCTGTGCCTTTCCCCGATGAGCACAAGAAGTAGACCAGGCAGTATGTCTCACAACAGCAGGCAGGTCCTGCCTGTAGCTCAGCAGGGCAGGCTCATTTGACCAGCGGGAGGGAAGTGTCTTGCCTGTGACTGCATTGCTGTGATAAAGAGAAACCTTAGTATTTCAACTTTGGCCGTCAGTACAACGCCGCAAATGGGAGTAGTGTACAATCCCAGGTAAGGTGTGAGTAAAATGCCCCTTTTCTTCTTTGTTACGAGGGAATTCTGCCCGGTTTCCTGGGTGCTCCAGTTTGAGGGGGATATCCCCAGACCGCAGCTCAGCTGTGCAGAAATACTGTTCCCTTCATCTTGTGTCTGACATGTTGATTTACTCATCACCAATGCTGTGAGATAGCTATTCTTCCTACTCAGCTTTGAGCTGATGTTTATTGGCACAGCTTTACTACATACTATAAGTAAAAAAGAAGTATTTTATCTTTTTGGGAGAGTCAGTGATGTTTCTTCAGAATACTACCACCTTGTTTTCTAGTGCCCAGGAGCTGTTGCATTAACGCAACTTACAAGTAAGCTGTTACTTCATGTGTGCCAAACGTTGGGGTTTTTTTCCTGCTATTTGCATGTTGCTTGGACAATAGTTTCTGTGTTTTACAAATATGAGTAACCTTCAACATCAGCTTAGCTTAGCATTCCTG